ATAAAAATGAAATTTAAATTAAAAGGTATTTATTTGCAAATTTTTGTTTTAATTTAAAATATTACGCAATGAATAATGTGCTTAAAAGAATTATTACTAGGACGGTTATATTATTAATGAAGATAAAAAAGATAATAGAAAAAGTAAAAATGAAAACTGATAATATTAATAAACAACAATTAGCAAAATTATGTTAAATTAGATATGTATGATATACAGTGTTCAATTGTACTGAAACGGATTCAAAAGATAAAAATAATATTGCAATGCAGATAGCCTGAGTAATTGTCTTATCTGCATACAATGCTTGCAATCATAATGTTTGTTGATAATAAGGGGACAATTTCATATATTTCATTGAAATCAAGAAATTTCTAATAAATAAATGTAAACGCAAATATAAAAAATATACACAAAAAATTGTAACCCTATTATATTATATTACAGAATATAATACAATGAAAAATACAACAACAAAATTAATATATGTATATAATTTTTTACAATTAATAATAAAATAATAGCATAATGAAAGTCAATACGCAATTATTATAATGCAGAATCCATAATAATACAAATACGCAAAAAATAATATATTTATGATCAATATGTTCACAGGATTGAAGATTTTAGTTTAAATTAAAACATCTTTTGATAATAATTAATCACATTTATATGTTTACAAAAAATGTATAAAAACACATAAAGAAAAAAGTTTGATGTAAACTTAATTACAATTAATTACAAAAACTTGGCGTGCCCGCATTTTATATACATACATCTTATTAATTAGTGCAATCCGGGCACTTTATTATTAAAGCAATTAATCGAGTTTTTGCTTCATTATATGTATGATCCCATTTTAGTCACTTTAAGCCTGTTTTATAAAACTTAAAATTATTTGGACAATGGCATTAAACTTTTGCTGCATGTACTTTTGGATGGTTTAAACGGTTTATTAAATTAGATTGTATAACCACAGTATAACAATATTAGAATGTATAACAAATAGATCCACTCCGCGAAAAAATGCGTCTTCGCGCAGGGTATTGCCACGCAACTTATGTTTTAATTGAGCTGAAATGAAATGCAAGACGACAGGAACGTACATACATATGTGTAGATAATTTATAAACATATCAGAAGTTTTCTTTGGTGATCACTCCTACAAATAATTGTTACTACTTAAAACGGTTTATTCGACTCACACATTAAATTAGTATATTATTACTTATCCATTTTATTACTTATGAGGCACTATTTTCTCTATTCGGTCCTGGATTTTTTACATGGTGGAATGTTAACATGATGGATGCTTACATCAACAAAGATCTTGACAAAGATATCAAAGATGCCGATACGAAGTGAACCTACTGGTTACCTATACTGTGGTGTGACGTTGTTTCACAAGTCGCGAAAGCTGAAATTATATAAGACTCATTCACAATCCAGTCGAATTAGTCGCTACATGCAGGAACATAAATCAATATGTTAATCTACGCCTTTAATGTGCTAAGTGCAGTGGTATTTGGATTATCCTCAACCGCAGAAACTACTGTTTGTAAGTGTTCATTTAATAATTCTTTTTATTTTCCTTTTAACCGTTTTATATATGCTGCAGGTCATTATAAAAATCGGATCGATAAGCGGTGTACGATCACGCTTCCCTTCATACCGAAAAAACACCAACATGATGTGATATCGTTATTTTTTTAAATTTACAGCAACAATTGCTATTCCGTTGATATAACATATCGCGTGCCTACGTTAATCAGTTTCAGTTTAATGATAAAACCTTTTTAAACAATAACGGTACTATAGTACCGTACAACAACGTACTACAGACTTTGAACGCACGTGTAATACTTAAAGCAATTAATAATCAGCTTGTTTCTTTTTAACTGAACTTCTTGTATGGTGTAGATCTTTCCTTTTTCTCCACGCTGAAGGAAAAAAGGAGTAAAAATGAACGATGCAAGAACTTCAGCTGAAAATAACAGGATATATTTATATGTGTACATATACATATATTTATATACGTTATCGCATATCAGTGCCTAATCACATTGCATCTATTATTTTATTCCCTTTTTTTTTAAGCTAATGTGTATACTAATAAAAAGATATTCTAATACAATACGACATCAGTTAACCAATCAGTTACAATAAAATACTTAAATACTGTGATCACCCTTCTGGATTCGTTAATCGTTCTACATTATGAAAATTATTTACGTTTAGATTTTTTCATATTAGACATTCATTTTGTAATTTTCTAAACAAATTATATTTTTATTTGTGTTTCCAAGTAGTAGTTTTTAGTGCGCAGGTATAAATTACAATTATCACGAGTTATAAACAATAAATTAACATTATTTACATACATTAGAACAACAATTTTTTTCATTTTCGCAATAAAAACTGCATAATTTATACAATAATATTGATGTTTAATAACTTATATGTACAAAACATGGTTACTTTTTAAATTTTTGATATATTTTTTTGAATTATATGTTAAAACAATATTTATGCAATTTTGTAATTTTAATACTAATTAATTTGATTTTATTGCTGTTTCTAATCAGTAATGATCTGCAAGCGAGGTTCAGTTAATTATTTCGCCTGTTTAAAACACGCTTTAGAAGAAGTATGGCCACAACTTGCTGAAAAAGGTATCTTTTTCTTCAAAATTTATAAATTTTTGTTTATACTACATATATCTTTTAAATATAATATATACGTTACTTTACACTCGCAATTACATTACTGTTAACAATTACAGAAAAAAAAACAGTTACAGTAAATAAACTTTTATAAATTGTTTGGATTTTATTTAAAGCAAGCAAAAATAGGTCCAAATTTTAATTAAGTAATTCTAAAGTACAGCGATATTAATATTGGCTTATTCATGTTGGTAGGACTTCCAGAAATTGACTTTCCACCTTTGGATCCAATACATTACGCATACGGAGCAACTATATTTAATACAGACGTCATACATGCAGAAGTTATTATAACAAATCTTACTGCTACTGGTTTCTCAAAGACTCATTTTAATGGTGTCAGAGCGCAGTTTCTTGACGACGTTTTCCGTTTGGATGTCGACACAGTAATACCGAGAATATTTTTAAAAGGTACCGTGGACCTGAGTGGTACTATAGGTGGTGTACTCAAAATTGTTGATAAAGGTATGACAAATTCTATACTTAGTTTGAGCCACCAAAGATACACCATCTATTTTGTTGAATATATTTTTATTTACGTTTAAAATTAGTCATATCCGTGTAGGTATACCTATATCAAATAAATTTTCCCTTCAAAATCCCGTTCTACAATACCCGTAAGCCATAAAAATTGATCAATCGTAATCGAATGTAAGAAGAGTAATCGATTACAATCCATTTTTACGACCTGCGACTATTGTAGAACGGGCTAAAGAATTACTGTAACTGCTTTGTTATAGAATCCTAAATAATCAGAGAAGCGACCGATTTGAAAAAAAAATTTCATATTTATAACTGCGAT